TTCAATCTCTCAAGCCTACTCAGTCCCTCGGTCCTGATGGTGTTCCTGCTGTTATCCTTAAGAAGTGTGCCGACATCTTGTGTTCCCCGCTAACTGACATTTTCAACGAATCGTTTTCCAAAAGTATTATACCTGAATCATGGAAAAACATCAAGATCGTTCCAGTGCCTAAATCAACAAGTGGACCAAATGTTAAGTTTAGACCCATTTCAATTACCTCACCCTTCTTGAAAGTTATGGAAAGACTTATTTTACTTAATCTTGATCCCTCTTTAAAACCTTTCAACGACCCCAACCAGTTTGCTTATAAACATAGTAGGAGTACGTTAGATGCCGCTGTTGTCCTCCACCATAGCATAGTCTCTAGTTTAGATAAAGGAGCTAAATACGTTCGCTGTGCCTTCCTTGATTACACATCTGCATTTGACTCTGTTCCCAGGTCTCTCTTGCTAAGTAAGCTTGCTGCAACACAGGCTGAAAGCTGGACAAATAAGTGGTTGCATTCCTATTTTTCTGAAAGGAAGCAGTACACCGTCTACAATGGAAAATCCTCCACTACCTCACTTACTTTAGCTGGTGTTCCTCAAGGTGCTGTTCTTTCTCCCTTTCTGTTCTCGTTTTTCTTACATGACTTGCCTCATTCTGATGTAGCCACTTTTGTTAAGTATGCCGATGACCTCTCGGTTTCTATGCCTGTCAACTCTCAGTCAGATTGTTCCAAATTAAATAGCTTTCTGTCGGAAATTAGTCAGTGGTCCTCTTCAAACGGACTTAAGCTTAATCCGTCTAAATGTCAGGTAGTCAATTTCACTTTCAGACGTAAATGTGACCTACAGCAACTAGTTAGCTCACATGGCCCCACTCTCATTGACGGCACAGAGGTTGAAAATACATCTAATGTCAAGTACCTTGGGCTGAGTTTTTCCACCGATCTTTCCTGGTCTTCCCACATCTTGCTAGTTACTAGAAAGATGTTTCGCTTAACGTTCTACATTAGGAAATTTAGGCAGTCTGGTATAAAGCAATCTTTACTTTCTCAATTTGTAAATTCTTGTATTCTACCCATCCTCCTTTACTGCTCCCCATTAGTCTTTCCTGGACTACTTAAGAAAGACTTTGCTTCGCTGAGAAGGGCACTAAAAGCTGTTAGTAGGGCAAGTGGGATATCGTTAAACCAACTGGTGAACACTATTGTAGATAGACATATTATGTCATGTAAGAAACTAGCGAATACAATATTGTCTCTGTATGCATCTATCCCCTTGCATTTCATCTGCTGGAACTAGAAGCAGCTATAGGAGGCTATATGCTAGGACTACCAAATACAAAAACTCCACAATACCATATCTGGCACAGCTGTTATGTGATGAGAAATCCGTTAGGTATGACACGATAAACTTACTGCGGCACTCTAACAAATAGTCTCATTAGTTTTTGTTTTCCTTTCCTCGTTACTATTACACTGTTGTTCTCATCTTCTACCACACATCATCTTTATATTTCAAATCCTGTGGTGCATTGTTTGAAATGAAATACTCTACGCTGTTTTTTCTTAATTTTTAATTTTTATTTATTTATAACTTATTTATTTTATTTTATTTATTTATCTTTGATTTTTAAAAATCTTATATAATTTATGAGGTAATTAGATGCAATATACTGTAATGCACACTGAAAATTCCATACCTGTACCACAAATACCGTTTGGAATAAAGCTGTTATTATTATTATTAAAAAAAACTTTCGTTTTGTAGTATTCTTAATTCTTTCCTATTCCTTGTAGGAGCAGTAGAATTTTCCAGATGTCCGGGACAGGTGTTGAGTCAAACCTGTTGCATACATTTCTCTTTTTAGTAAGACGTGGTGAGTTAAGCCAGAGGAGAACAAAAACCTTACAAATTGTAGATTAGTTAACTTTATACAGATAAGAAATCTGAGGCATAGCTTAGCCATAGCATTACATGCAATTACACACTGCTATACAACAGGATGGAATAAAACGATAGTATTGAAATCTAAGAAAATAGGGTGGAGGAAGGGAATCATAACTGAAGCTTTGTATATCGAATCAGCGGAAAATACATGCAACAGGTTTGATTCAACATCTTTCCGGGACATCTGGTAAATTCTACTACACCTACGACGAATAGGAAAGAATAAAGAAAACTATAAAACGAAAGTTTTCAGGTTGTGTAGTTATAATTGCTATGATTATGAACAATGAATTGCGTTTGAAGCGACATCCAGTAAATAATACTGTGTTATTTCCAATAAACAAATTATTATGGAACAGCGTGAGTTATAACAGCCGAAACATGAACTGGCGACGGTGGAGAAAAAGCCTTTATTTTTCCGTCTACAACTCCAGTGAGATACTCCTAAAGAAATCGTATTACAACATCTAAAAAAAGGGTAAACAAGAGCTTTTACTTTGCCCATATGCTCCTATCCTTCAGTAGCAGTCTAAGGTCCACTTCAAAACTGAAAGACGACCTACATACTCTTAGCTCTTCTTCATACATTCAACTTTTCAACCATTCCTGTGGTTCAAGTTGTATTGGAAGTACCGTAATATAAAGTTGTGCATAAATTCAAGAACACACTTAGTAGGTTGGTTCAGAAAGGGTGAAATCAGATGCGATAAAGTTCAATTCTATCACACTTGGTAGATACAGGATGTTGCATCGGCACTTACATAACCATTGTTATTATAATTTATATCTTTCATCCTAATATTATTTCGAAACTATCGAATTTTCGAATTGTACTAACGAAACTTACTATTAGTTCCATTGTCTCTTTTCTTATTATGTGATTCAACCTATTTAATTTCATACTGGTTATTTTATGATGAACTATTCACCACAATGTCACTGTTTAGTCTTTAATGCATCCTATTTTGTGCTAGCCACTGTTACATGATATCTTTTACAAACTTGTCAATTTTGTCTTCCCCACACTGTATAAACCTATTATGATCACTCATCATTGTCGTCTTAAAATTATTCTGAAGGGCATTCAAGCCAACACGTATGTCACATAGATACTACTTATATAATTACCCTATAACTAATCTATTATTCCGTTTAAAAAATGCATCAACCGCGTAACTAGCCATTATTGTAACGGTAACTAATATATATCTTATAACTGTAAGAACCTGAAGAGGATAATTTATTGAAAAAGGATATTTTTCATTCAGACTGAGTTTTAATTCATGAAATGGAAATATTCCTCACTCTTATAAATTACTGATAAATACCAACAGACAGGGACCCAGCTAGAGGGACAGTAAGAAGCCTATTGGGCAGTAATTTATTATTTATTTACTTGATACTTGTTGGACCATATCTGCAATGCCTGCGGTGAAAAGATTCTTTGATTCTCAGTTAGTCCGTATACTTCAGCTGGCAGAGAAGGTTTTCATTTTAACCTTAGGCCCCTAACATTATATGCATTATTTCATTATTATAAATGTTTTCATATTTCTCAATGAATGAAGAACAAAACGACGTTGTTTTCACTGACGTTCCGTCACTTGATGCTGCTAACAGCTTTATCAAAGTGGTATTATCAAACCAGAATTTACAAAAGCTAAGCTCATATACAGCAAATTAATCATCGATTTTTCAAGTATTGGTTTTGCAGAGATTGTGTTTGATCTGCCGGAGGGTTACATCACGAGTCTACGTCAGTTGGAGAACCATTGGAAAACCATCCGGAAGTACTGGACAGTCACTTCATTCTAGTTTGAGACTCTTCAGTAGTGGGAGGTGATGTCAACCCATGAGAAAAAACCTCCAATTAATCATCGTTCTTCAGGATGAAGTAACACTTACGTCGCTGTCAAGTGGTTCAATTAGTAAAGATAACAAAACCATGTGTGGACTGTTGGATTTGATAAGTGTATGAAGTTATAGATACAGCACGTCATTACATGGTGAAAATTGCTTATCATATTTGTGGTGTAGGGACCAGGTCGAATACTCTCTTAGTTCGCCATTCCTATTCAGAGAATTTGTATTTCGTGCTTCTGATATTACAGGTTCTTTGTGATTTTTAAAATTTCTCTGGATCAAATTTGTCAACTGATTCCATGGAGTATAGACGTGTGGCTGATGATTTTTCAAGCTGGATTTCTCAGTGGTTAAACAGATGCACTACGGCGTTCATTACTTTTGATCGTAATTTCTCGTGAGGTTTGTGAATCCTTTGAAAGTTTGTCTACTACAGTGTGTCTGATGATTTGAAAAAATACTCTGGCGTTCAAAATGATTTTGACAATATTTAAATTATCCAGAGAAATTCCAAAAGTCACAAAGTTTCTGTAATATGAGAAGCATGAAATACAAATTCTCTGAATAGGAATGGCGAACTAAGAGAGTATTCGACCTGGTCCCTACACCACAAATATGATAAGCAATTTTCACCATGTAATGACGTGCTGTATCTATAACTTCATACACTTATCAAATCCAACAGTCCACACATGGTTTTGTTATCTTTACTAATTGAACCACTTGACAGCGACGTAAGTGTTACTTCATCCTGAAGAACGATGATTAATTGGAGGTTTTTTCTCATGGGTTGACATCACCTCCCACTACTGAAGAGTCTCAAACTAGAATGAAGTGACTGTCCAGTACTTCCGGATGGTTTTCCAATGGTTCTCTAACTGACAGAGACTCGTGATAAAATCCTCCGGCCGATCAAACACAATCTCTACAAAACCAATACTTGAAAAATCGATGATTAGAATTTGTAAATTCTGATTTTATAATATCACTTTGATAACAGGTGTTAGCAGCACCAAGTAGCGGAATGTCAGTGAAAACCACATCGTTTTGTTTATCATTCATTGGTGAGTACAAGAACTTTTTGTAATAATGAATTTCATATTACCGATTCTCAGATTTCTCCAATCTACTAAAGGGGAACTTAGTTTGCACATATAGAGTATTTCGTTTCTTATAAAAGATAATTCCACTGAAAATACTTACCGCTATTTTTACTGCAAATTATATTAAAACTTCCGTATTGTCCGCCTTTATGCAAGTTGGTTAGATAGAGTAAATGACACACTGTTTGATAACTTCACCTTTAATATAATAAATGTAAGAAGGTCCTACTGAGTGATTCGCTTGTTTTATAAGAATTCAAGTGAAGATTTGTCTACTGGATAATCAAAAGTCTTTGATGAATTAGAAAGTAATGTGGAGATGATGAAATAATTCGGAATCGATAACACTTCTTCTTGTATTATATATTAATTCAAATATATGGATATGTAAGTAAGCATTAGCAATGGTGTTATGATGTACTGTGGCATATTTGTATCAGTGCGAAAATGCAAATGAATGCAACAAAATGATTGTGAATGCACTAATCAGCTTATTTATGCCTAATAAATAGGCAAATATGAATCAACCAATCGAAAATGAATATTCTTCTTTTTACCTCAAGATGTTTCAGTTGTTGGATTGGGCAGTATATATATATATATGCATGATAATTAAATAACAGTTTTACTATGATTCATATAAAGCACTTTTTGAATATTTTTTTATTCCCCTACGTTCCAAGTGGATTCTAGGTCTTCCATCTAGAGCTTTGAGTTATCGGTAGCAGTGATTTTACTTTTATGGGTTGAAATCTCCAGCCTCATGGCCAACCTTTCCTCTTTACCAGCTTTACTAGTGGTTTAGCAAGGTATAGGAGTGTGTCACACCCAGAACATGTGTTCAGTTGGCGAGTTGATTAAAAATGACGAATATGCGGAGAGTAAAAAATTAATTGTAACTAATATCCCTGAGTGAATTGCTGACGTTGTTAGACAGAATTCATTGGAGGGGAAAATTACTTGTAAGCTTCGTCTAAACACTGCATAGCTGTAAGTGAATAACATATAAAGATCCAAATGGCAAATATGAAATTTTTATTTAATTAAAGAAATGGAACCTAATTCATCGCTGTGCTTTAGGATAAGGAAAATTTATAGTTCTGATTGCGTTGACTCAGAACTTGAATTCTTAAAATTCACGCTCGTAGAAAACCGTTGGCCTAACCGATATATTCACAGCAACATGAAAGATAAGCAGTCTAAACTGGTCATTGACTCAGTTCCAAAGAAAACCCTATTCATGAACTTCGAATTCAAAGGTGATCAAGCTTCAGATATGCTCAAAAATCGTCACTCTAAATCAGTAAGTAAGACGTTCTTTGCAGCAAAATTACATATGACGTTCACGAGCCGCAAACTCTTCTCTAACTCTGTAAAAGATAAGCTCCCCGTCTGGCCGCCTCCATGTGCATCTATCAGTTCACCTACTATTGTGGAGCAAGGTACATTGGCTGTGGTCAGAAGGACGCTTTCCACACGAATACGAGAACATATTCCAACATGGTCTTACAAGGGAGAAAGGAAGTGTGTGCGAAACTATATTCTGGAATTTCTGATCGACTTCTGTCACTCTGTCAACCTTTACCATGATTTTAAGATAATATATAGAGTCCATGCTAACTTCTCGCGTTTTCTTCGTTACAGACTTCTAAAGATAGCTGAGGCCTTGACAATTCATGACTTTAAGCTAGACCTTTGTATACAAAAGAAGTATGTGCAATCCTAACTTCTGCCTTGGCAGTAGAATTTAGTTATTCTGTGTACTTTTCCTTTATTACTGCGATCATTATTATCATTATTATTAATACTATTCTCACTCTGAATCTTTTCTACTCGACCTACTTGTCATTCTAAAACCCAAATTATTTATTTTTCATTTTTACAACATTGAATTCTATCTTATCAAATTTCACACCATGTTATGTAACATTTTATATTCGCATACTAATCCTATAATTATTTATCTCTTTCCAAAATCTATAAACCGTATGTATTATTCTACATATGACATTAGTTATTTTGCCACTTGACATTAAACTTTGATTATAATGGAACTCTGAAGAGATCGATTTATCGTAAGCTGTTATGGAATGGTCAACTGACAAATTTCTACAGCTGGGTACCCATTGGTCGAAAACGAAACCTGGGCCGGTCGCTTGCCACTCGTATTCGACGCATATGTAGCACTGATACTGTGAAAGGTGAGTTATACACTTTGAGGAAAATCCTAATGGAAAATGGATTTCCACCACGTTTTATAGATAAGAATATACATTCAAAGCCTACAAAACGTGACTTATCAACCGCTCCCAAGTAATACTTTACATGAGCTTAGAATTCAAAGGGGACTTAGCTTCCGATATCATGAAACGAAGGATATCACAGTCCCTGAAAAGAACATTCCCTGCTGCCTCTCTGAGAATAGCTTTTACTAGCCGACCATTATTGTTCAATAACCTGAAGGACAAGATCCCAATGCTGACCAACTCTATGTGCGTTTATCAATTCACCTGCTCTTGTGGAGCTAGGTATATCGGTCGTTCGACTCGAGTTTTGTCCAAGAGGGTGCAAGAACATTATCCTGCATGGCTACGAAAAGGTGGAAGTGGAGCAATAAAAAGCGCGATCATAGAACATCTGGTCGATAATGATCACCCTATCTCTATAGCCTCCGCCTTTAAAGTGATCTACAAGGCAAAGAGCAATCTACCCAAATCCCTACGTACCCGACTCATCTGTACTGCTGAAAACAAGCAGGCGGTAACCTAACAAGTTGGGAGAAAGGGGAGTAAACATAGGACTTTAATTAACAATAGAGAAGACGGAGGTAATGAAGAAAACCAACCAGTAACAATAATCACCAGTTACCATCAACGTAAGAAATTTTTATCAGGTCAATTGTTTCACTTATCTAGAAAACATCTTTTCAACTACAGACATTCAGCACGAATGACGACGTCAGATCCTGAATCAGAAAGGTGAAAGAGACCTTCATCACCTTGAAATCAGTTAGAAAACCTTCTGGAGTCACATAAAAATGATAGAATGTGGATTTTCAACCCAATCGTTAAGTCAGTCAGTTCTTTTGTATATTTCAGAAACTTGGCACGGCACAAAAGACATTTCCAACAGTCTTCTGAAGACTTTTGTCAATAACTATCCTTTCTGGCTCCATAGTGTAGATCATATGACCGGTCAAAAGGAATTAGAAATTTGAAACTCTGGGCACCTACCAGTCAACAACAAAAATATTCCGAAGAACGTAAAAATAGACTAAATACACTCTGAAATTGTGCGTCAGGTCCTTTGGTGGAATGGAAATAGGAAACGATGAGTTGGACTGCAATCCGTGGTTGACACAGAGGAAATTTTGTAAGAAGGAGATGAGAGCAATCGTGGGGTCAGTTAAAGATGGCTGTGGAGAACGGGAGAAGATGAGGATGTACGGTTCAAACCATATTTTCTCCTGAAAACTGGCGGGAATAATAATAATCGAAGTAATAATGAAACTTGAAAAATTGCGTCCTGTGATCAAGTCCCACTGAGTACTTGCATACATTCGAATAGGAACGTGCGCCTTATGATACACAACCCCCCTCACTTACACTAATAACACCCAGAATTCCAGTTTTAACGTATCGGTTTCCTTAGATTATCATTGTAGAAATTCAGAAGTGTTGCCTTACAACATACTACTTATTTAAAAATGCACTTGTATTTGACGGCACTAACAATAATGGTCAGGTTGTTTATACTTAACATTCATAAGTTGAATTTCCGGTTTATACTGACATCAAGCTCATCTTCGAATATTTTACACTTGGTATGCATGACTATTAAAATTCTCATACAAACTAGACGATGTGTGAGTAACTGCAGTATCAGATTCCATATTTGAAAATCACACAGTTCCAGATTAAAACTCACCATAATTTCCAATAGAAATCAGACGTATACATATCCCATTATGTTATCCGCCTGATGGTAAGAATGGCAACTGAGAAATTAAACAAGGAAGCTTGAGTTGTTGGAATCTACTGATGTCAAACAGCAGTGTATATTGGTCAGATCAGTGGTTTACAGACCAAGTGACTGTCTCACTCGTTTAATGCTAGGCCTATTAGCAGTGTATTCAAGATGACTCAAATCACACAGCTCGACCATTTTAAACCGTCTACATTCTAGCCAGCAACCTAGGTGAATTCATAATACCATGATGAATCTCTTTGCGCCAAAGGAAAAAGTCTCTGGGGGGACATGGAACGTCCTCACCATGTACGAGATTGGCAAAGCTGCCCAGATTGCAAACGAGATGAAAAGTTACGTATTCCAAATACTGGGAATATGTGAAGGCAGATGGAGCGGGAATGGACTCACCAAATTGTCAACGGGTGAGTCAGTGTTCTGCTCCAGTCACCCAAAAGATAACCACACGCACACCGAAGGCGTGGCTATCATCATGTCTCCAACGGAAACAAAGGCCCTGATGTAATGGGAGGCGATCTCGTCCAGGATAATGACCGCCAGATTCAACTCCAAAGCAAGGAAAGTGTCAATCATACAATGTTATGCACCCACAAACAACACAGACCTCGAAAAGAAAGAAGAATTCTACAGACAATTACAGGCAACAATGGACAATACTCCAGCTGGCGACATGAAAATGCTAATGGGAGACATGAACGCCAAACTGGGACGAGACAACACTGGAAGAGAACTCATCATGGGTAGAGAAGCCCTCGGAGAAATGAATAAAAATGGAGAACTCTTCGCCGACTTCTGCGCCTTCAATGAACTAGTGATTGGTGGCAGCGTATACAAACACAAAGATATCCACATGGCTACATGGGTGTCACCAGACGGGCAAACCAAAAACCAAATTGACTTCATCTCAATGCTGCTCAAGGAAGTGGAGGCGCAGCCTACTGGACACAAAAACAAGAAGAGGAGCAGACGTTGGCTCAGACCACTATCTTGTACAAGGGACAATCCAAGTGAAGTTTAAAACTTTCAGGGAAACAGGAGCTGCAGATAGATCACAAGCCAAGTTGAACATTCAAAAACTGAAGGACCAAGATACAAAGGACATCTTCGTAGCAAGCATAAGGGACAAAACCAAGACACAAATCAACACTAGCGAAGAGGTCGTCGTCGAAAAGCACTGGGACAACTTGAAAACGGTGTGGAGTCAAACCTGCGTGGAAGTTCTAGGCAGAAAGAAGAGGCAGGACAAACAGTGGCTCACTGCGGACACTTGGAGACTAATAGAAGAGAGAAGGATGGTGAAACAAAAGATTATCCAATGCACCGACAAGCAACAAAAACAGGATTTCAATGGAAACTACAATACGCTAAAAAAAAGAGTAAAGAAGAGTGCCAGGGAAGACAAAAGAAAATATTATGAAGCTATGGAAAGTGAAGCAGAACAAGCTGCAGGCAAAGGAGATCTCGCCACACTCTACCAAACAA